TGAGGATATTAGTGTTCTAATAGAAGTGAGGCTATATCGTCAATGAAATCAAGCATAGGCAATATAATAGAAGAAGAACAATGAATAAGTTTTTTTACACACTCTCTTGAAAATTTGAAGCCAAGTGATTTCTATTATACCTGTCTCTGCTTTCATGCCTTTCTTTCAATAAAAAGTGGAGATTTGGCTTATCCCCTCCAAAAGATCAGCATTGTTTACATCTACCTAATTCGGACAACTCAGTAGAATGCAACTATGTGTTTGTTTTGTTTATCAATACAGTGCTATGATACGAGAAAGAGATCACCACCCCTGTTTAGGAGATACCCAAGTCCCAAAGCTAAACCGAAGGTTTATAATCAAGATATAGTAATTAGTTGCAATTATTATATAATTTTTATCTTTATGCCTGGCACAGGCTATAATAGTGTGTCATGACTACTTTTCTTTTTTTTTCGCTTTTTTCATCTTTGTTCATTTATATTAGACTTTTTTAGAATAGTTTTTTTTCCCACCATAAGATGTTTTTTTTTTCTAAAATGTTTATGTTTTTCATAAACATGGCTTTATTTTTTTTACTTTTATGTATGAATAAAGGTTTAATTATGTTGTCAGGCTTAGGTGGAAGAGGTTTAAAAGAAGAGAGAGGTGGTTATGATGGGCGGCAAGGTCCACTATTGAGAGCTGGGTCAATCCAATTGCAGGAGGGTCCAGAAGGAGGGAAATCTTGCTATAGCAGGTCGAACATAGGTACCAAGTTGGTAACCAGATTAGTTATAACTTGTAATTTAGATAGTGCTAGGTGGAATATTAGGTAAAGTACTTGTCATTTAGAGATAGTTTTTATATGCTATCTGCTAACTCGTTTAGAGTTTATCACTCACCTGTTACCTATCCGTAAGTTCTAGTTGCAAAATTTTATATATTCTAGATGAGTTGTACAAAGCTTAATAAAGTTATAGCATGACTGCCAAATCTTTATATATAGAGCTAATATAAGGGCCCAATAGGGCTTGATTTTAGTTTTTATAAAGTTTTTAAAAGTTCTGAATATTTTTACTTAGAGAAACTGATTTTGTTTACATTTTTGAAAAATAAGATCTATAGTGTAAAACACCATAGGTGCATTTTAGTAAAAGTCATAAAAAAAATTATTTTAAACAATACTAGAGTATAATTATCAAATTTTTGTAAATAAAAATTTTTTTGAAAAATAATTTTTTAGATTTTATACAAGCTTTTAACAAATGTACAATACTACCAGTAGTACAAAGCCTATTAATAATAATATTTATAAATAATTTACTTTTTAACAAATTAATTTGTTTTTTGCCAAATTTTTTATTAAAATATTAAATAATTTTATAATATAATTAATCTTATAGAGGTGTGGCGACTTAGTGTAGTAGTTTAGTCGTCACCCTCTCCAAGTGGCAGGTTTAGAGTTCAAATCCCACAGATGACGATATTTGAAAAATAGGCTTGTGTTTTGGTTAACGGCTATGCTTATTGGTTGGATCTAGAACTAATCTGTAACTTTGATTATACCATCTTGTAATGGAAGCTTTGGCACAATAAATCTGAGGAATCGGCATAACTGAAAACCCATTTGGCAAGTCCCAAATTGGGAGTAGCAATGATCTTTGATGATATCACAGGAAGGTTGAATTCGAACTAGGGCCCGAGATCGGAGAACCAAGCAACCAGGTCCACTGGCAGAGGACATACCAGCTGAACTGCCAGGTTATCACATCGGAGAAAAAGGACATATGTTCTGAAAGTATGGACCAAGAGGAGGGCGTCTATTAGGTATCTAAAGCCTGGGCAGACCAACCTATCTGAGTTGCCAGCTGGAAGTAAGGGAGAGACCAGTAAAAAATCCGGGTAAAAAGATGGCTAAAATGCGGATACTGGGGTTGTTGTGAACTTTATAAGGGCAGGAGTATGTAATAGAAGACTAATTAGAAAGATTGTGCTTAAGATACGGATCGGGTTACGGCAGCACCCCAAAAGTTGGCTTGAGATACGAACCCGGTGGTGGCAGTACAACAGGTACTAGTTAGAAAGAAATTACTGAACATGTAGGTAAAAACATGTGTGGGACATGAACTACTCTGTTAGGTTTATCTTGTGGATAGACTAGACTCAATATGGGGTTTAGTAAGTTCTAAGGTAGGTGTGAAATCTATAGATGTCACAAAATCTACTTCTGAATAGTGAGTTATGCCTTGGTTAGGTAGAAGCCACTGGCAGTTGTAACCAGAGGGTTTAAATGGGTACTCCCCTAGTTGGGGTACAGGTACGGCAGATAGTGTAGAACCTTCGGGCGAACTACTTAAATAGGCACTCAAAAGGTGCACGTGTGACTTGATGTATCTTTGTTATAATTGTATAATGTCGTTTCTACTTAATAAAAAGTCCCTGGCCAAAGAGGTCACCTTAATACTGAAAATAATAATAATAATAATAATTAATCTTATATAAATTATATTTTTTTTATTTATAAATTTTTTAAAAAATATGCTTATAAAAAGATTGTACTTATATAAAGATAATTTTTTATAAATTTAGTAGTAATTTCTTTTTAAGTATAGAATATAATAAAAAGAGGTTTTTATATGATGTGATTATGAAGGTATGACTATATTTTTCGCAGCAACAACATATAACAGAACTTTTTCTAACAAAAAAAATTTGAATCCAATATTTAAACTAAGTTACATATAAATATTTATATTCGTCAAATTTCACATGGATATTCACGCAATATTTGTCGAATATTCGCACAAAATATTCACACAGATATTCATATTTATTAAATATTCATGATCTAATTCATGATTATTCGCGGATTTCTTATAACTGAGGTATCATTCTATCCATAAATATTCACGGATCCAACCTTTAGTTTTAATGTAATTTTTTGAAAAAAATCAAGAATGTTAGATAAATATATATATACTGTATAGTATAATGTATACTATAAGCTTATTAGAAGGATTTATAATAAATCTAATATATATAATAGATAGCAGTTCTTTATTTAGCCACTTTTACCGGTCCGAACTGGTCTCAGGACCGGAATCCGAATAACCGTGGGACTGGTCTCTAGAAATGAGCAATGCAATAATTGGTTATCCAAGTTTTAATCCTTACCTATTCTGAATATTGTTACGATTCACAAATGTAACTTGAAAGGCATAATTCTGATGTTTGAGATCTGCCGATCGATGATGCATTTACCGCTACTTTTTTTATTTACTTAATACGTAAAAAATTGGTAATTATAAGTATATAATATACCCATTTGTCTCAGGACGGATCCCGAATAACCATGGGACTGGGTTAAACTATCCCTAAAAAAAGTAAATTGCATAATTGCTAATCTAACGCTAATCTAATTAGGACGGATTAGATTGATCCCAGTATAAATTCAAAAAATACTTCAGTATTTCTTTTAATAAAATATATTTAACTTTCATAATACTACAACAAAATCGCCATTGTTATTTAATTTGTTTTTCTTTCTCGATCTAGATAAAAAAAAGTTTGTAACGATCATAGAACCATACGTGTAGGTTGATACGTCAGAATAATGAGATCGAATGATCATCGGTTGAGTTTCAGTTGTAATTCCCCCGACTAATTAATTTTCCGATATGATTAATTTCCCGATGCATTACACTTGTTCTCAAAATTTTGGACAAACTAAACTTACTATTTCACAAAACTCTTTGGGAATTACGTTACCTTTAGAATTTCGGTCTAGGGACAGCACTGCAATTTCCGAAAGTTGATGATTTCTTGTCGAAGAGGTTTCGGGGAACGGGCAAATTTTAGCTTGCCCAGAATTTATGAGAACACAGTAATTAGGGTCTGTACCAGACCCATATCCTATGTTTTAATAGTATCGTGCCTGGTAGTCTAATCGTAACTATTAAAAATCATTGCTGTGCTGATAAGGTAAATCAATCACTTTGATGCTGTATTGATGACGCGTAACATTCTTGCGTCGAGATTGATAAACAGTTATACCGAATCAAAATGCGATATCACAAATGTGAATGATATAAAAACCAGGCTTCAAGAGTGGAAGGCGCTGTAAATGATGTGGTTATTCGTTAGCAAGACTAATAGGTTCGCTCGGTTCGTTATTTTTTTCTATTTTTATTTTTTTTTATTTGTTTGTTTGATGAATACAAAGGACAAAAAGAAAAAATTACCAAAATATATATATATATAATTTCTTAATACCATTTTATAAAGCAGCGTATTCGTTAACTATAGAAACGAATTATTTTGATAATATAATTCTTCGATTAATAACGTGTTTAATTTAAAGGATTGATTAAAGTCACTGATCTTAACCCTACCGAAACCATTTAAATAATAATGAAAGTTAATATGCAAACCAAAGATTTTCCGAAATCGAATGACTTTAAAGCCACCCTAAAAGAATGGTTAAAATTGATGAGTCGATTTTTCGAAGAGTTGCCGCAAAGAATAGAACATTCGAAGAGCTGCCGCAAAGATAGAATATTCAAAGAGTTGCTGCAAAGAATAGGATAGAATACAAAGGGAAGACCAACAAAATATTCCAATAAAATAAAGTAAAAAATTTCATGTAAGTAATGTGAAATAAATAAATAAATAATGTAAATGCATGTGATTTTATTTAATAATAATAAAAAAAAAAAAAGGCGTTACTTTTGCCGATGACCGTATTTTAAGTTAACTGTTAAGAGTTGAATCATAAACTTGTTTCATTATACGATGAAATAAGATTACATCGGAACTTGAAAATAGTCTTACTATTGAAACGAAGTCTGTTAAATAGTTGTTGAATCGAAACGTATAAATATACATTCTTTTGACACCTATCCAAAAATCCGAAAAAAAAAAAAGGGAAACTCTCCCTTGAAGAATTTATAACACATTTTTTGATTATTTATACCACATTTTTCTATTTTTCATCACTCCTATTACTTTATATTTCAAATATGTTTCAAGTGTTTAAACGCTTTGAACATTTGCTGCCTCAAAGAGAGTTTGATACACAGTTATCCGCGAGGGATGACCCCCAAAATATCAGTGAAAGAATTCGATCACGTGTTGTGATCGTTACTATGCTACCACATATTTTATTAACGAAATTTCTTTTGCTGTGGCGCTCTTCTGACATAGTATCCGATAGGTATATGATTTATTCTACCACGGTATCCGCTATCTTCATGGGTAAAAATAAATGCATTAACATGTGATCATTAAGCAGCAATTGAATAATTTACTTATTTTATATTCGATTTTTTAGTTCAAATATACAATTTGTGCACTTCTCGTGTTTCTTCACAATTTTGCGCGAAATTGCTGAGTATCAACTTTTTAATATCGCATATATTGTCATTAGTCGATTCACAAGAAAAAGGTTGATAAAAAAATAAATAAAATAAAAAAAAATATGAAAAAAAACTTTAAATATATTTGGTCAAACTTTGTTACACCAAATACATTTGACTTACCATTAATAGATTTTTAAAATTTTATTATGAAAAGCTTATGTGACAAGGTTTGACTATAATATTTAGAACTTGTTTAATTTACTGATGGTCTTTTTTATAGAAACATTATCATATACTATTTCAAACAGTAGATTTTCTTTTCTATTTTGGGTTCCACCTTTCAGGTACTTAGGATCTACAATTTTTTTTTTTTATAAATGACGTATACAACAATATGAAGAATCTATGTTTTGCCGCAGTTATGTCTTTGCTAATAAGAAGTTTGGGATCACGACCGCTATAATCACGTGCGCTATTTATCTTTATGAAATTTTTTGGTATCGTTCTTATTCATTTTTGATGCTGTCAAAAGACTATATGACATAATTCAATATAATAAATATTTTTATTGATTTAACAGGCCAGCAGCCGGAGTTTCCCTGATCCGAGGAGCTTTTTACCTTGTGCTTGACCTTATCATACCCACTTTGATGTTTACACTTTTATCTACTTTTGGCGTTGAAAAAATATTTACCGATAAACAAACCGAACAAGTATTCTTAAATTCTTATCAAAAATTTTTTAATTAATTCATTTTCTTTTAACTAATTCATTTATATTTAGGCCATGGAAGCGAATCGATCAAGATCCGTGTTCCTACAAACCATCAGTCATGGTACATATGAAATCGGTTTTTATTTTCCTTACATTATTATTCATTCATCTTTTATCCATACCTTTTTATCCTAAATAGAATTGAGAACCCCAATTCACGGAATTTTAGCTAGCACTGAAATTCTTTGTTCTTCTAATCTAAGTTCCGCTCAACGAGCTTTAATATCTGCTATTCAAAATTCTGGCATCAATGTTATTCATATGGCAGATCACATTTTACGTGTTGCTAAAACTGTTAGTTTAAATATTATTTGAATATATTATTAGTTCTATATATATATATTTATATAAAACTTATATATATATATATATTTATATAATTCACTTTTTTTTTTTGTTCTCTTTTCAGGAGGAATTAAGTAAGCAATTTTTTGCAATTTAAAAATATTTTATTTTATTCTCTAAAATAATTAGTATTCTATTAATGAAAACAGATGTCTTGAAGGGAGTTACCCATGAATGTATACCTTTTGATTTGTATAAAGCGACTGAACAAATTGCCGATGGTATAAACTGTAATTAATTTTCTTTTTCTGTTAAATTTTCTCGAGGAATTCAATCTTTTTTTTTTTGATATGACGCATTAGGGATGGAACTCTTGTTTGAAAATGAAAATATAATTTTTGATTTCGATTATAAAATACCATTAAATCAATCCATGTATTTAGGTGATATTGGTGTAATTAAGCAAATAATTATTAACGTAAATAATTTAACGACTATCTTGTTAGTCTTTGATTTTCTTGCTTAATAATTTTTAATCCTTTCATATATATTATTTGGCATCTTGATATAGTTACTGGGAACTGTGGTATGTAAAATTATAATTATTATTTTACATGTTGCTAGGACTTGATTAAGCTTCTTTTTTTTTTTTTTTATAGTTGAGTTTTGATCGCCTCGAAAAAGTTACTTTCAGTGTCAATAATCATTTTAAAGAAGAGACAAACACTGAGAGAACTTTTACTATAGAACTTGTTATAATTACAACACAAAAACCTCAGGATTTAAGTGAATTATATGATGAGGTAAACTTTTAAAGTTTATCTATTATCGATGTTTTTTTTTTTTTTTATTATTAATACTTTCTCAGGATATTGGTGAATCATCTGACAAGGTAAAATTTTGAAGTTCATCTATTATCGATGTTTTTTTTTTTATTAACACTTTCTGAATGTTCAGAAAAAACATTTACCGCCCATGGATAGAATAAGCGAGTTGGATATGGAGTTTCGGTAAAACTTAATTTACATATGACATTACTAATATTCTGTTGTAGACTATTTTTTGTTACGGGCTAAAATCAGAATACACCGAAATATTTCGCACTCTGGTGAAATATTCCGAATTCAAAAAAAATTCTGCCCGTAACATTAAGCGGTACTTTTTTAATTATTATTATTTTCATTATTTTACAATATATTAATATCCAGCTTCATCCAAACACTCGTTGACACGTTTGGTGGAACTTTCGATTTTGATTCGTTTGATTTTAAAACTCCCTTCGTGATTAAAATTGATTTACTGTTAGCGGATGAGGATTCCAATCCTACTGTTAAAATGAAACCAATTCCTCTTCGTTATATCTCAGGGAAAATTGAAGATGCCGATCCAAGAGAGTTGCTTAAAATCGGCGTTATTCGAACAAATGACAGTATTGCCACACAAAAGATTCTAAATTTTCTCCAAGGATTTGAAATGCAATATGATATCATTAATCCTGATGATATTTCTTTGTGTGATATTAACGTTCTTATTTTTGATTCATCCGAAGCTGACAATGAATTAATTGAGACTATATGTAGAAATATTCGTAATACTAAAATCCTCATTATTAGTATTACGTATCTCTTAAAGCATTTAATTATCTGTGAAACTGCACAAAAAGTGGGGTTAGATGATTTGGATATTTACTTTGTTGACAAGGTACTCAATGTTTTTTTTTTGTTTCAGAATTTTGAAAGGACAGGATCGATTTTCCGTTTACATGATTAATCATACAATATCGCTGAAACATAATTTATGTATGTCAGATTTTTTACGCTTGATTTTTTTGGGCTTAAAAAAAACACGCAACAAATTTTACCTCTTGATGTGAAACGTCATGTAAACGGGCAATCTATCCTACTCCTTGATTTTTTTTTAAAAAAAAATATTCTAATTTTTATTTATAGCCCTTTACCATTGTGAAATTTTGGAACTCGCTAATGACTGCAGCTGATACTGTAAATAAAAGAAATAATAATATTGAAGATACAACAAGATCTGCTCAAGGTCATCAAGATTGGTGGACATTAGTATATATATATATTAAGAACATGATACTGAAAATGTTTTTTATATTAATAGGAGAAATAGGCGAACCAAGTTCTCGCCAAGGTGAAATGAATGAAGAATCAAGAGAAGAAGATTCGAATCCTCAGCAAGGTGAAATTAGAAATTAGTTTAATAAAGTATTAATTCTCATCAATTCTCATCAAAGATGAGACTAGTGAATCAAGTTCTCAAAATAAATACCGTATATATGGTGCGAAGAACTTAAAAAGACATCCAACGTTATTATTTTTTTTAAAAAATTGTATCCACTCAATGAAAAAATCTCTATCAAATTATGTATTATATGTTTTATAATTTTTATTATTTTTATTTTTTATTTTATTTTTTTACTGAAAAGATACAATTGTTTTAAATTTTTTTTTTTTTTTTTTGCATCGTTTAGCTTAGTAGTGTCCCTGTTCGCACCATAGCAATGCTTAAAAAATATTAATGCATGATAATGACAATATTTATTAAGCTTTTTTTCTAATCTATAATTTATGTATGAATGCAAGATCTTTTACGACCTTCTCTCCATACGAATCACAATTACTATGGACTTTCATCATCATGTAGTGATGGGATTTAAGAAAATTTTTAACTTACCATGTTTAATGCTTAACGATACTAAATACTGTATGTATTAACTTTCATTAATTAGTAAATTGAAACCTGGCTATTTACTTGGTTTAAAAAAAATTTGGTAGTGATAGTATTATCACAGTTTATTTTTTAAAATAAAATGTATAAAGTAATAAGCTGAAATCTAAGTGTTAATGATAAACAGAAAGCTTTGGTGTTTTGAAATTACTATTTTAAAATAATGCAAGAATCTAAATTAAACACGACTATTTTAAAATGCCTTTTAAGTTTATATTGATTTTCAAAAACTTATGTTCTTTTCAATTTGTGATAGTGTAAAAAAATGGATTAATGGAGAAGGATGGGAACTACAATAACAATGATAAATTTTGATTTTGGTCTATCACTATCCCCTGCAGAAATGCGGATTTCTCGAATATTTTTCATGGGATAGAAGTGAACAATCTTTGCATAATACACTAACGCTAGATGTAGATAGCAGAGCCGATTTTGGCCGTGACATTAACTATACAAATGACGAGATGTAATTTAAATTTATCTACGAAGCAACTACATAGTCAAATCCCAATACCAGATACTATGATATAAATTGTAGCAATTACTAATCTTTAAATTGCAAAATGTCTAAACGGTTTTTAACTTGTTATTATAAAATATTTTCTTTTTTTCGTATTATCTGCATTGCTTTAATCGTAACAATTGGTACTTTATTAGAATAAACTATGCTCTTCTCACCTCTTACATTATTAGAATAACCTATGGCTCTTCTCATCTCTTACATTAACTTAGTTGCTTCCAATCGCTGGCGTTCTTCTTATGATCGCTTGTATCAACTGCATCAGATCAAAGGTGGTATCTTGACCTACCTAGTATCGCCACCAAAATCAGCTACGTATAACGGAGCTTAAATTTATTGCCGATACTAAAATTAAAATTAATGATTAATGCAATAATGACAACATTTGATTAATAACATATGTAAGAATAATAATAACAATTTACGATGAAAATTTTTATTTCTTTGAATATCTTAATACAAAATATTTTCTAAAATATAACAACTTTTATTCATCTTGTCGAATTACGAAACCAAAAAACTGCATTTCAATGATCAAATTTTAAATGATATTCGCAAGCAAAAAGAAAATGCCATAAAATCCGAAGAGCTTGAAATATATAGTTTATGGATGTTGAGAGAGAAAGCGATATGTATATGAATCTTGAAATAGCTGTAGATATTTCCCAAACAGTAGCTTTTGCAAGTTCATTGTCATTATATTATGGTTATAATTTCTAAATCTAATATTACGGTATATTAATTTAGATACAATGCAATTTCCAATATCCTCTCACATTACGGAGACTAAAGAAACTTATGGGAAAATATTCGAATATCAACCTTAATCAAATGCACACAAGTCAATTTAATGATCGATCTGGTAAATTCAGAAGCCAAAATATAGATAATGAAGAATTGAGTACTGAAGATAGTGAATCTAAATTTGAAATTTACTCACTATGAGGTATAAAAATTTTTTTCATTATATTTCCATGTTTAAATAAATTTATTTATTAATTTTATGTTTTATTGTCTTGAAAAGTCAACTAATTTTCCCAAACAAAAAAAATGGCTTCAAAAGTATTGAATCGAACTTTAACCCTATTCAAAAAAATAGTAGATGATATTAAAAAAAGCCTGTAGTGGACGTAACAAAGTACCTTTTATTAATAGAATAAAAATTCAAATTTGAAGCTTTATACGTGTATTAAATAAAATTTGAATTTGGATAAAAATGCATTCTATACATTTGAATTGAGTGTACTTTGACTTATAACTTGTAGTGATAATTAAATAAATTCTAATAAGTTGAATAAATATAATAATAATAAAAAAACTTTGATGGTTTCTTCAAAAATCTTGTGATCTCATCATTCTATTATTCTTGTGCGCAGATTGAAATTTAAAAAGCGATTATGTAACTGATTTTGGTGGCGATACTAGGCACGTTATTAATAATCATTAAATACTAATTGGAGCTAACCTCATATAATGAACGTTATGAGACTCACATAATTAATTAAATCAGGAATTGGAGGTTTATTGATAAATTAAATAAATCAAGTTACGCAATTAATTTACTATAAGTGACACAATTATGACGTTTATGTACAGTATTGGAAAATAAATAATACAAGACAATAAATACTCAAATAAATAATACTTTGAGAATCAATTTTTATTATAATTTATATAACTAAGCAACAAAGTCTTAAGTTTATTGTAAGAGCAAAAAGGCAGCTCTTTTATACTTTTGGTTACATAAATTATTTATTAGACTTTAATTACTTTTATACTCTTTACATTTCGCTTATTATATTAGTTAACCGGTTATTTATATATTACCATTCTAGGCATTTGTCTAGATCTATATTACATCTCTGGGCATTTGTCTATAAATATTGGGACCAGTGCTTCGGGCTAAACCTGATTTTGCAGATCATTTGCAGATCAAATTGGGTGAAACTAGTTTGGAGGATTTCGGATTTATAGGGCGAAACGTTTCGGACTTTGGGGAGAGTAAATGGTGGCTTGAATTCATTTTTTTGGCATAGTCAATCGAGGTGGGCTGGAAAAGATCGACCATATCTGTCAGATATGACAGATATGTCAGATCTGTCATATCTAACAGATATGTCAGATCCGTTAGATATGTTAGATATGCTGTATATGTTAGATAAGTTATAGATTATATATGTTAGATAAAACATATATGTTATATATGTTAGGTAGAAATAGCAAATCATAGTATAGCCGAAAGTTGTATATAAGGACCAAGAGTTTGCCTTGAATAAAATATCATCTCAGTAATGAGCTTTTAACACTCGAATTATCATTGCGTATATAATTAACACAAGTCATCTCATACATTCGTTTTCCCTAATTCCTAATAAATAAACTATTACTTATCCCATAACCCCGAATTAGAGCCTCGTGACATAGTCTAGAGCTCTATTTGGCCCTAATAACTCAGACCAAGTCTCTCCACGCCTCTTTCCACCTTCCAACATTAGGGTTGGATAGAGTTTAGTGGTTTAGTGTGTAGATTTGGATTAGTTAGACCTTAGTTGATATCCGTGAGGCCATATTTCAATCGTAGGGGTCGACTTAGCCCCTCACAATTTGGTGGTGACTGTAAGATTGGACTTATAAACCCACATGAAGCAAGTGCAACAATGGATTTTTATCACCAGAATCGAATATCATCGTTGAATCGAGCCAAACCAAGTCAGTCCCCAAAGAAAAGCCAGTATTAAAGTCAAAGCTTTCGGAATTATCCACTCCAAAAAGTCTCCCAAGAAAGACACTGGTGCTCTTACTGCCACATAAAAGAGCATACCGTGTCTATATGTCCTGCTGTGAGGAAATTAGATGAAGAATGCACGATGCTTCTTCGAACACTTACTGTGGAGCAACTCGAAGTGGTCCAAGATATAATAAGCGAAAAGTATTGTGATGTCCTCGATGCTGAGCAAATTCTTGAAGTCCTAGAGCTTACATTAGAAGTCATAGAAGATATAGTAAATGATAAAAGCAATGTGGATGTGCCGGTTGTATATTTACCATCGTATATCCAAATGACTCCAACTACGAAAAAGAAAGTTTCTCTAGCGAAGCCTCGCCACAAGAAAGGTCTTCTTAATGTTGATAACCGGGAAGCCTATCATGTAAAAGAAGTAGAAGAAAAATACAAACCTAGGGCTTACTCTGAAGATACACGACCTATCAATTATCGACCTACTACTAATGACCTTGAAAACTATAATCGAGATAGAGTTGAAGTAAAAATAAATGATTACAAGACATCCACTGCTTATTATCGAAAAGTTGAAGAGATAGACTGAACTGACGAATTGGATTCTCTTGGTTCCTATTGGGATAAAGAAATTGGGGCCAAAAACGATAGGTGCAAGGCATCTACTTATTATCAACAATTAGCTATACTTTCCAATCGTCAACAAACAACAGAAATGGAAAATGTCCAAAGAAAGTGTAATAAATACCGAGAAAATAGAATTAACAAGAACAGAAGTAAAGTTTCTGAGTGTCATACTAATAAAACTTCTGTCCGTAAATACTGGAATCGGAATGAGATTGGTGTTAAAAAAAATGAGCCTAAGGCACCAACTTTCTATCAAAAATCTATCGAAAAGGATGAGTCTAAGGTATCTCCACATTATCAAGAACCACACAAGATGGAAGAAACATTCCAAGCCAATTCTACCGTAAACTGCCGTATAGACGACCCGGAGTGACAAATAATGTAGATCTATTTTTAAAATATTATTTATATATCACGTGATACGTAATACACGTGATTTAAAAATTTTTCAATTGTAAAAAATTGCATCACACCGGGTCGTCTATACGGCAGTTTACGGTAGTTGCCGAAATAGTATAGCCGTTAAAATGAAAGAAGAAAAGAAATCCACGTGGTATATAAAGCCCCCTGAAGTCGAAAAGGATGTAAATATGGCATACAAACCTTATAAAAAATCCGCTGAAATGGATCGTACTAATGGAATTGAGGTTGAAAAGGACAATTCCAATAGAGTTAAATCAGATAAGTATGAAGCACCACATCAATAGAAGGTAACTTACCATCAGACGAACGAATTTAAAGAACCACCTGCTAATTTAAAGGTGTTAAAAACTGAACCAAATAAAGCAGAATCGAATTCTGATAATGGAACATTTAAAGTTTTGGCAGATTGCCAAAAACTTTCTAAAACAAATTATCTTGATGGAATAGAAGTTGAAAATGACCATCATAAGACACTTACCGGTTATCAAGAGCCGCAAGAGATGGAAGGAACATTTCAAGCCGACCTTGGCAGTCTAAATAAAATAGACATTAAAATAGATAAAGAAATCTCCGAAGAACCCAGTTACCAAAAGATAGCTCCGAAACTGATTAACGGCCATCTTGATGAGCTTGAAGACACTGACGATATAGATGGTGAAACTTGGTATCCATGCAACGACGAAATCCCTGAAGATTGGCTAGGCCCGAACAACTACGAAATCGTCGAATTCGAGCTAAAGGAGAAAGAAAATAAGGAAAATAATCCCGGTCAAGAACTTGTTAATAATAACAAGACTGGCGAAAGTATTGAAACCCTGAATAAAGCTGAAAAGGTTCAAATAGAGTGAAGCACTTACCAATCATGTGGAATTGGAGTCGAACAAGATAAATCTCGAGCACCTATCAAGTATCAACACTCGAAGAAGGTGGACCAACCTAGTCGAAAACATACTAACCATTGAAATGGTATAGAGACTGAAAAGAATTGCCTGAAAACGAAAAAGCAAGCATTAAAGACAAACATTACAAAAATCGAAACTTGGAATTATCATAAAGATAAAACCTTTAATCAGAAACGAAAGAAAAGTAAAAAAGCAAATTCTAGAATTACCTTATCCGGCTTCAGCATTTTTTTAATATGGTTCCTATATATAACGACAACCAACGTAGATATTTTGCGGGAAGAAGAGTTACTGTACCCACCCAAGTTCAATGTAGTGACCAAAGGCGTTTTTAAGCACAAACATGAGGCATTGGAAATATCTGCTGAAATGGAGAATACCGATACAACATATATAATTGGATATTGTTATCGTCATGGAACTGGAGTTAAAAAAGATGAACAAAGGGCATTTGATAATTATCAAAAATCTATAGAATTGAATATTTCTAACGAAATTTATCAAGTTGGATATTTCTATCGATATAGGAGTGAAAAGGATGAAAACGTAGCATTCACGCATCATCAAAAATCGGTCGACATGAATACTTCGAACAGTGTATATCAAGTTGGTTATTGTTATAATTTACGAATTGGCGTCGAAATCAATAAGCATAAAGCTTTTACACGTTATGTAAAGTTAGCTGAGGCAGGTAATCCTATAGGAATTTGGAAAACGGCCACTTGTTACTTTTATGGAATTGGCATGGATGAAAGTAAAAATTATAAATGGCGCAAGAAGGACCCTTTTTGTAATGACCTTCGCCAAGATTCTGAATATGGAAAATTTACACATTGTAATGGAATTAACCCACGACCAGCATGGTGTCTATTATGCGACCCTGACATAACAACAAGGTGGACAAGTGGAAATAAAGATATTGATAATTGTATAAAAACATTCCAACTTAAAACTTGGAGTTATGAAGAAGCGATTGAATGGATTACATTTAATAGATTATCTGAAATTGGAAAAGGAAGATTTGCAACTGTATATTATACAAATAGGTTTGATGGAATCAATAGTTTGTGCAATGATGTGCTTAAAGTAATTCGTAATTCAAGCAAAAATGATCAAGAATTATCCAAGAAGTGGTTAAAATTTTTGAGACATGTTTAATCGAAGATGGGTATTACATTTTATTCTAAAGACTTTCCAGCACTGACGGAAACTACGATCTGGGGCCTTGTTATAAAGAACAAAAAGAAGAAAATACTAGACGGTGAAAGACTTAAATTAACTATGATAAGTTCAGAGCGAAAGGAAAGAACCTATTGGAATAAAAACCTAACTTGCCGAAGTCAAAAGAAGAAAAAGAAATCAAATACGAAATTCACGATGATTAAACTTATTGAAAAGTAACCATGAAGAAAATGGACATGACAAAATTAGATACAGTAGGTCATGACAGTTATTGTGCGGGTGTGGGGCACATAACAGCAAGTGAAAACCTGAAGAAAAGAAGAATCGATACATATGAAGATTCGAAAAGAAGAAAGGGACGGCAAGAAGGAAGGAAACGTCCGCATTACCTGCTGGATGAACTTTAAAGAAGCCCAGAGGAATGTCAAAGTGTATCCGTGACTAATCCAACACAGCATTGGGTAATGTTATCAAAATGGAATTGGTATTGAAAAAGATAAACATAAAGCAAGAGGAACTTACCCGAAGTAAAGAAATCCAATGTTAAGCGAAAATTCAGTCTAGGTAGTCGGTGGCCTAGCACATAGAAAACCGAAAAGAAGCTTCCAAGAATATCAACAACGATCAATGCTGAGGAGGAGGCTCAGCTTAGGTACAAAATTGTACTAACGCCCAAGTAATCAGGATTGACATATCAAAGCCACGCGACTTGAAACAAAGTGTTTCCCAAATACCAGGAGCCACGAACTAATACTAAAATGGAAGATCCCGTATGATCTTTATACTAACCCCATGAAAGGCACTCAAAGTAGAATAAGAAGGTTCTAATAATAAGGATATTAGAGCACTACGAAAAAAAAAAAAGTATAAATAAGGAATGGTAATCCGCGGCATACTATACTAAGACGACTAAAAGATGCCTACAGACTTTAATTCCCTTATAAACGATCTTCTGGCTACCCAACCAGAACATGTGGTACCTTTCCCGCTGCCATATGCCGAAACTGACCCCAACAAAACCCGATGCGAGTGACCTACCAAGCTATGGCTAGGTCCTCAAGAAGTGGTGACAAAATCAGCAGCCTAACTTATGCCTTTTACTTAGGCGCCATGATTGCCCAACTACCCCCAGAACTAAGGATGGTGCAGCGTGCAAGGATGTCGATCCACTACTTTACGGCTGCTGTCCGCGTCTATCAGTTGTTTGAGCTCCTTGGGGTTGAACAAATCTGCCGGACCACTTACATGAACCTGGCAAAAATCGTCTCCTTACCCATCCAGCAACGTCAGCAGCTGCTTCAGGTCTCCGCAACTGTTGCCTCAATGCATACCACGCTTGGAAATGGCCTGGATGAAATCGATAATAACGTGGAAGGCGATTAAAAAAAAAAAAAAATTCGTATCTTTATTTTTTTCATACGTAGTTCTTTTCTCGTGGAACTCGAAATTAAGGTTGGGAGTCCGTAAGAGGGTAAATGGTGGCTTGAATTCATTTTTTGGCGTAGTCAATCGAGGTGGGCCGGAAAAGATCGACCATATCTGTCAGATATGACAGATATGACAGATCCGTCAGATATATTACATATGTTAGATACGCTGTATATGTTAGATAAGTTATATATGCTAGATAGATTATATATGTTAGATAAAACATATATGTTATATATGTTAGGTAGAAATAGCGAATCATAGTATAGCCGAAAAGTTGTATATAAGGACCAAGAGTCCGCCTTGAATAAAATATCATCTCAGTAATGAGCTTTTAACACTCGAATTATCGTTGCGCATATAATTAACACAAGTCATCTCATACATTCGTTTTCCCTAATTCCCGATAAATAAACTATCACTTATCCCGTAACCCCGAATTAGAGCCTCGTGACATAGTCTAGAGCTCTATTTGGCCCTAATAACTCGGACCAAGTCTCTCCACGCCTCTTTCCGCCTTCCAACATTAGGGTTGGATAGAGTTTAGTGGTTTAGTGTGTAGATTTGGATTAGTTAGGCCTTAGTTGATATCCGTGAGGCCATATTTCGATCGTAGGGGTCGATTTAGCCCTTCACAACGTACGTCAGTGTTTCGGCCAATTTCGGAGACTTCGGCCAGTTTCGCCTAGTATCGAATGTAACTTTATACTTATTTATGCATGTGTTTTTCACATGATCCGAAAATTTTCGTATTTTATTGGCTATTTGTTTCGAAGTTTCGCCCGTTTCGGAGGTTTCGGCCGGCCGAAACACTGACGTACGTACATACGTACATGAATTTTTGAAAAAAATTTAAATACGGATTGAGTAACCGTGCAACGAAAGATAGACCAAATCTAGAACGGAATTTTCATGCATTTGGCTCCTTGTGACCACGTAATACAAAGCTAATTGTTTAGCTCTTAGAGAGGTGTGTGTTGAGTATGACAATTGTTGCATATAGTAACGTTATGTGTTGCTCTTTAGGGGCATCAGATTTGGTTCTATTGTGTGAGACATGGCAGACTCTCTAGAAAAATGGCTAAAAATTGGAACTTCTGAGAAATATATAAATTGGTTTGATTTTGCTGAATTTACTGATTTTAAGAAAATCGGTCATGGTGGATTTGGGACAGTGTATAAATCCGAACTGAAAGGGCAAGAATTGACTGTTGCTCTTAAAACTCTTACAAACTTAGACACAAATCTTAGTGGTTTTGTCAAAGAGGTAAGGTTTAAATATTTTAACTTTTTAAATAAATAATGTTTGTGACTAATTTAATTCAAATTATACACAAGCTTAAACTTCTACAAAAACTTAGTTTTCATCCAAATATTATCGGATTCTATGGGATCACAGAAGGTATATTGCTTTCTTTAAATTATTGTAACAAAATTCTACAAATAAATATATTGTGGATATTCATGTTAGCTGATTATGAACAATAGACCCACGTAACGGATATTATAGTTTAGTCTTACAATTTGCTAACGATGGCAATTTGCAAGAATACTTAAAAAAGAGATTTTTAAGTTTACAATGGGCGGATAAAGTAAGAATTGCTAGAGAAGTAGCAAAAGGCCTTTTATGTCTACATACTAATAACATTATTCATAGAGATCTTGTAAGTATTTGTAAATTATGCTTCATAGTCGCAATCTACAATTCATAAATCTTTTAATGTATTTTATTTGATAGCACTCTAAAAACATCCTAGTCCATGAAACCAAAATAATGATAGCAGATTTTGGCTTATCCAAACATGTGGATGAGGTGTCGAAAACCTCGACTTCAGCTATTCAAGGAGTCCTCGCATATATTGATCCTCAATGTTTTAAGAATACTTTGTACAAACGTGACAAAAAATCTGATATATACAGCTTTGGAGTCATTCTGTGGGAAATTTCAAGTGGACGACCTCCATTTCAATCATTTGAATCTAAAGACGCAATTCTTATTCATGTAATGCGAGGAGAAAGAGAAGTACCTGATGAAAATACACCTCATCAATATAAACAACTTTATTCTGAATGTTGGGATACAGAACCTTCTAGGCGTCCAGAAGCAAAAAAAGTTTTTGAAGTTTTAAATCAGTTAATTTCTGATGAAGAAATAAGCATGGATGATAAAGACTTAATCATAATTGAACATGAATTTGGATGGGAAGAAGAGTATACTATCAGAAATCAAAGGGAAGAAGCAAAGGAATATTTTAACACAAGAAATTACACCAAAGCATTAGAGATTTGGGAAAGTACCATCAAGAATTCCAATCATACACCAGAAGATCTAGAATATGCTTCAAAATGGACTCTGGAATCGCAAATGATAGATACTGAATCAGCAAAATTACTAGCAGAGGCACTTCACAGTAACATAGTCCTAACTTCATTGAATCTTAAGAACAATCAGCTATATGCAGAAGCAGCGAAGTTACTGGCAGAAGCACTTTATAAAAATACCACCCTTACCTCTTTAGATCTAGGATGTAATCTGCTTGGTTCTAAGGGAGCAAAGGAATTAGCAAAGGCACTTTGTTACAACAACACACTGGTTTATTTGGATGTCTGTGATAATCAATTTGGCGAAGCAGGAAAAGCATTCGCTGAAGTTTTTTACTGCAACACCACTCTTTCCTCTTTAATTATTCATAGCAACCGTATTGGAGACGAGGCGGGAAAAATATTATTAGAGGCACTTTGTAACAATGCTACGTTGACCTTTTTAGATCTTAAGGTTAATAAACTTGGTAACAAGGCAGGAAATGCATTGGCAAAAGTTCTATATATAAATAAAACACTGACTTCTTTAGATTTTAGCGGAAATAAGTTTAGTGATGAAGTAGAAAAGGCATTGGCAGAGGCTCTATGTAAAAATAATACTTTAACTTCCTTAAGTTTTTGGAATAGTCAACTTGGTCCTGAAGGAGGAAAAACATTAGCAGAGGTCCTTCGCAATAATGATGCCATAACTTCCTTAGATCTCCGCAATAATCAGTTTGAAAATGAGGAGGGAAAAGCATTGGCAGAATCTCTCAGTAAAAACAACACTCTAACTTCCTTAAATCTTGAAGGTAATCAACTTGGCCCTAAATGGGGTAAAGAATTGTCAAAAACCCTTCTTAACCACAATTCTTTGAAATCCTTAAATCTTCGTAGCAATCAACTTGATTATGTAGGAAAAGAGTTAGCAGAAGTGTTTTACAATAATACTACCTTGACCTACTTAGATTTATCTTACAATCAGTTTGGTAGCGAAGCAGGAAGAAAATTTGCTGAGGCTTTTTCCAGAAATAAAAGCCTAATATCTTTAGATTTTAGCGGGAATAGATTAGATGATGAAGTAGAAAAGGTATTGACAAAAGCATTTTTCAAGATTCCAACTTTAGTATCTCTAAATCTTTATAATAATAAATTAAATGATGAGTCGGGAAGGCTATTAGCAGAAGCTCTTGACGGCAATATCAAATTAACATCCTTGAATCTTAGAGCCAATAAATTTGGTGATGAGGCTGGAAAAGCTTTAGCAAAAATGCTCAATAATAACACCGCTCTGACTTTCTTGACTATTGAAGCCAATAAGCTTGGTGATGAGGCAGGAAAAGCATTTGCAGATGCGCTCTACAACAACACTACTTTAACTTCCTTAAATCTTAGTAATAATCAGCTTGGAAATAGGGCAGGAATAGCGTTGGCAGAGGCTCTTTACAATAATAAATCCCTGACCTTTTTAAACCTTAAAGGTAATAAAA